AAGAACAGGCACTGATGGAGATGCTTGTGATAGAGATGGAAGTGAAAAGTGTTGGTGTCAGCGATGTTGGTGGTGGTGGTTAGCGAATAGTGAAGGTGATGGTAGTGAAAGATGTGAGAAGTAGGGAGGTGGAAGGGAGAGGAACAGACTTAATGGGTGGAGGGAGGATGAAGAGAGGTAATGAGGAGAGGTAGGGAGGAGGAAGAAGGAGACTGGGGAAAAGTGTTGGGGAAATGAATATGGCGAGAATGGGACGGTCAGTAGAATGGGAGATGACTGAGGAAAGGGGCACAAAATGGTGGTGCGGGGAGGAGGGGGGAGAGGGGAGTAAAATGGAGGGGAATGAGGGGCAGTGAATAGAGGAGGGAGGGGTTAAGGGTGGTAAGGAATATGAGGGAATGCAAGAGGGGAGGGGTGAGAGATAAGATGGAGAATGGCAATGAATGAGCGAGGTTTGGAAAAGAGGAGGGGAAGTTTGAGAAGCGATAATGAGGTGGCGATGGTCGTGCTGGTGATAACGGTGGAGATGATGGTGATGCCAAAGAAGCAAGTTAAAGGTAGAAAAGTGAGCGATCGAAGCGATGCTGGCGGGGAAAATGATGTCGATGTTGGTAGGTATTTAGGAACAAAAACTTATGCGAAGGGAAGAGGATGGAAAGCGAGGGGGTGGTAGCACGTGCGAGGTGATGGTGGTAGACGGGACTTCGGAGGATGTGCTGGTGGTTGAAGGAGCTATGATGACTTTAACGAGTAGAATGAGGTAATGGAAGTGTTTAACTATGGCCATGTAATTGTGCAGGACGGGGTTAACAGCAAAAGCAGGAACGCTGACACCTGCACTGTGGATGCAGAAAGTCCGGCAACAGCAATAGAATTGGCGGGGAAAACCTCAAGTAAAGACGAAGACGATGGAAACGACGAACATTGTGGTAGCGGTGCCAGCCGAATCATTGCGGTGGAACGGCAGCAGAAAATGGTAGTGGATGAGCCGGAAGCACAGGGAACATGTGGTCTCGAAGAGGAGCACTGACGGCGTAAAATATAGACAAAATCGGGAGTGAATGGTGGGAAAGGCTGCGTACGCGCGGCAATAAAGAGCGCGGGGCAAGAGGAGGAAAACATATTGGAGATGCGAGAAAGAAAAGTTCGATTCCGACGCAGGGAGCAGATGTAATGCAGATTGAGTCGGCGAAAAAGTGAGGGGCTTAGGGGCACAGTCTTCGATGCAACAGCTGCACGCACGGAGGAGGGAACGCGTTTGTATGTCGATGGTGTCGCCGTGGAAATTGCTTGACCCTTCTTTTGCTCAATTTGCACACAGTGTGTCTCTACACGGAGCGTCGGATCTTCTATCTTCATACGCGCC